TGATGATGATGATGATGATGTGTGTAGCATGGGTAAGGGCTCTGGCCCAGACTGCGACTTTGGGAAATCCTCGCCCGGTCCTCAGTATGATCTCCGCATGATTCCAGACCTTATGGCCCTGCAGCTTACACTTTAACCCTGACAAGCTGCTAAAGGCTCAAACCTACACCTCCAAAAGCCGATCCGACCCTTCCCATCATAGGTGCTGCAAACACCCCTTTTTCTTCTATTCCAGCATCAAGCAGAATTTGGTGCCAAACTGCTTCTAATGCGTCCGTACTTGAACCTTATATGGGGTGTGCGTTCCACAAGATCCTCATATTCCTTTCACAACCAAGGCGGCATTCGTCACGGAATATGCTGCCTGACTGGAACCAGTTGCATTGCTGACAGAAGGGTATCTCTCCAGACGAGCGCCTCCAGAGTTCTATATTTTTTGTTATACACGTTGTGACTAGCAATTTCCAAAGCAGATGCAGGAGTGTGCCAGGTGCACGCCCGTTTAGAATCTTCCGTGAATCTCTGAATCGATTGAAGCCCAGTGAGCGTTCAGGAAGTGCCGTGACCCCCAAGACCTAAACGCCATGAACTCACCTTGCTGAAAGCAGCATTCTGCCTGCGCAGCTGAGAAGAAAAGGTAGGCAAACCAACGCCAAACGCAAAGCCGCAAACCCGTGAATGCTGGATCCCTGAACCCTCAACACGTGAATCCTACCCCCCGAGTGTTGAACCAACATCTCAAACCAAGGATGGCATCCTGAACTTCAATTACAAGATTCGACCGGCCGTGGCCCCGGAAAGCCAGAGAGGGCCTAGGATGAGTGTTTGTATGCTTCAAAATTGTTGGGTCTGAAAGCTTTGGGTTTACTGGGTTTCGTGGCTTCGGGCTTTGAAGGTTTCATTCGACTGTATAGGGGTCCATGCAAGGATGAAGAGAACTGATAATGAAAGGCATGGCCCTGCTGCAACAGTCCGAAAGGATGCAATCCCAATCAGAACCCGCAACATGCAGCCCATAGTTTTGATATGCCCTTGCAAATCTGGGGAGGATGTTGCAAAAACGTAGAGTCCTTCCTTGCAAGCTTAAAAGGTGACCCGACCTAAAGGAACATTTGAGGTCACAGGATCCAGCTGTAGCTTCAGAATTCTTATCGGGGCATCCTCCTGACATCTGACTTTACTAAAGGCTTGAAGTCCACAACCCACAGTACCTTCAACGCCTAAACTACAAACCCCGGACTGCCAACCCTGAAAGTTCTACAGCTTGAATCCCAAACCCCAAACTCTGAACCCTAAGCCTCAAACACCAACTTCAATTTGCCTGGAGGATGGAAGAATATGCATATTCGAAGTGCCGCTTGTGCTGCACCAGACCGTGTAATGTTCAGGCTGTAGAGTTTAGACTTCAGGGTTCAGAGCGTAGGGCTTGGGACTTAGGGTTGAGGGCTCGGACGTTCGGGCGCCTGCTTTTGGGCTTCTTGGATGAGGCAGTGCCTTTTTGCGTGGCTTTGGTGAGTGCATGCTGCGTACCTCAGGGATGTTGGCGAGTGTATGCACAAAGTGTCCTCCAGCAGCCGCTGTGGTAACAGTTACCCTCAAACCTCAAACCCGGGGCTCCAAACCCTGTGGCAGTAATGCGGCCTTGAGCGCCGACCCCTAGCCCTAGCTGAGCAACTGCCAACATTAACCCCTAAACCACTGGCAGATAAGGTCGACCGAAAACAAGCAAAAAAATACCTTCAATCCACGCATCCTGTTCCATTCCCAGTGGCTCCCAGGAACACACGCATTGGCGCCGATTTGGCCTGCGATGCTCCCAGAGAGCGGGCAAGGCAGCTGTTTCTGATGCTGGACCGACGCCTCGTTTAGCTGATTGGTTTAGCATGGAGGTTTGGGGTTTAGGGTTTAGGGCTTAGGTCGGAAGTTTAGGTAGAGTCTAGGGCTGCTCCCTTCAGCGATTTGGAGGGATCGACAAGACCCCAAAACTACGAGCCTCATTCTCAGCCACCTGTTTTGAAGGCCCTAAGCCCTAAACCCACCAAGACCCTGCAGAAGCTACTTTTTCAGGATTGCCGCCTTTGTTTCCCAAACTTGTCAGCCTTTAGGATGGGAAATTTCCAAGAAGAGGGGTTACCTCAAGGGCACTAGGGGTATGCAGGGGGTATACACAGATTCGAGCTGTCCTCTTTTTTAGGATGAGTAAGCTTCTCTATGTGGTAGTTTCCCGAAACAGGGGACTGCAATATAGGCCCCCAAAATACTACATATGGGGGGGACCTTCCAAATGGTAACCCTAATTTTGGGAAAGACCTAAGTCATCCTCAGGGTCTAAGCAAGCCCAAACTGCTACTTCTACGGCGGCAGGACAAGATCCGTGGCTGACGATTGAGCTGCAGGGACATGGGAGTTTCTCTACATCCGGGCTCTGAGGGACCCTGCCGTAGGCAGATATATGGGTCCCCCATTGAAAGATTTGGAGAAACTCACACATGGGATGGCTGTACTCCGCAGCGACACAAAGGAAGATCTAGCGTCCCCTAAACAACCTCTTTATAGCTTTCTGGTTCGAGGCCTGACCCTGGAATCCCACCCTCCAAATCCGAAACCGCTTGTAAAGAGGCCCTGAGGCTTGAAAAGCCGGATGGGGGTAGGCATGTTAGGCTCAAACAGGAGCTTTACTCCTGCCTTTTCAATGAGTTTCTCAACATCAGCTGGTCCCTTTTTGAGCTGCAGTGTTTCAGTATCAGAGCACGACTACTATTACATTATCTTGAAGCACAAAGGGGTAGACAAGAGGATTCCGATTTTTGAGAAATTCCTTCCGATTTTTGAGAAATTCCCAATTTTTGTCTAGCTCCTAGTATTGACCAGTCATAGACAGGTCTAAGTGTAGGGTGCCCCTAGGGCCGCCAAGGACGCATCACTCGAGACGAGTGGCGTCCTTGGGACTGAGGAGAGGCGAGAGGCGGAGACAAAAATGTGGCCGCAGCCGGAAGGGAAGCTCTGAAGCAGGACAGGTTGAAATCTGCAACCTCCAAAACGGGCCCTTCAGCTATGACCTTCAAATGACCGTACTTCCGCCAAAGCGATGCCAAACCTAACCCTAAACATCACTCCTTAAAACCTCAAACTCTACATCCTGAAGCTTTAAAGTATCCCGATCCCCAGTGTCGCTGAAGAATTCAAGCTCAGGTTCTGCGCCCTCGGTCCGCAGCTTAAGCAATGTGAGGGTTTTCTGAAACCAAGGCTAGCCTTTGCCAAATTGGCATGTAGAGGGGGATGGGGATGTAGGGGGCAGGTTTCAAGCATTAGGGTTTAGGGCTTCTCAATAATTACGTAGGGGGATTCTGGGTTGCCTTATACGGAGCAACAACTGAGAAGCTCCCGTGTGAGAGTGATCTGGCTTTTTTTGTGCGAACTATCTCGTCTTTAGAGGTCAGGGTTGGGGTGATCAGATTTCTCAGACGTTGCAGTGGTCTATCAAAGGGTGTGAGAGCCTATGTATTTCTGAGCGTGCATCTGCGTAGGGGATGGATGATGATGAGTTCAAAGGGCTCGTTACGAAATCTCATAGACATGGATGATGCGGTCTTCATCATCAAGAGGGCTGCGCTTCCCTATAACCCCCCCCCGCATTGTACATTGCCAAGCCACACACCCGAAGTTCCCACAAACCCGAAGCTCTAAGCAACATGCTCTAAGCCCAAACAAGCCTAAACCGCAATACCTGAGCAATGAAATGCCTTGGAGTTGACTGAAAGCTTCGGCCTGAGCCGTTGCTTAGTCGCGAGACGCAAGGCCGGCGTCCTTCCAGCGGATCTTGGTGGGAGCCCCACTTGGGGTTTGGGGCCTGCCGGCTTAGGGGCTGGGCTTCGGGTTTCAGGCGTGGGTTTTACGGCTCGGGTTCATTGGGCTTAGTTCATGGGGCTTGGGATTCAGACGAGCTTAGCGCACCTGATAGCGGGGGCTCCATGTCCTGATTTGACAGGCAGTTTTGGAGCGGCGTCGCTTGGACTCGCCCAAAGAGAAAGGTTCGTAGTTTTTCGCCTGCAGCTACGCAGGGTGGCCAGTTTCTCAAATGGCCAGCGGACACGGGCTTGAAGAATAGGGTTGATGTATGTGCCAGGTTTGGCATGCAGCACTTGTGATATTTTCTTCTTGGGTGTTTCTTAACAAAGATTTGCACTACATGCCCTGGACAGGAATGGAATCCTGACTGCAGGGAACTCTAGACCCATATGCTTGACAATCCGCATAGCAACAGCCGCCTAGGCCTGAAGAAGAAACCCACAACTCCAACCAAAAACGTCTAACATCAGTCCAACCCACTGGACCGAACAAAAAGAAAACTCCTTAAAGGGGGTTATATAGGCGATTATGTAGGGGACTACTATAGGGGATATTAGGGGGGATGAGTTTCACACAAAAAGCTGGAGCCCGCGGAGTGCGACGTATAGGCAAAGCGACCGAAGTGCCAGAGTCAGCTCTTCCCCAGGCCTTCTTGGGTCAAGTTTAGGAGTATTGGGGGATTTAGGGTTTAGGGTTTCCAGGAAGAGGGGGCTGTAGTATATAGACCCTGATACCGTTTGGGTGTTAGTATGAGGACCAATGAGGCTCCTTAATTGTGGCAAACCATGTAGCACAGTTCCAGGGCTAAATAATTAGAATAGGCTGTAGGGTGCCTTACACACGCCAGGTGGACGCCCCCGTTTCGGGTTACATAAGGTCTATGTCGGACTCCGATTATAAGGGTTCCCACCCATTTCCCTTCTAGGGATACTGAAAATCGGGGTGTAGGATTTATGGGCTTCTGGGAGTTAGGAGTTCTGGTTGTAGGGCTGAGGATCTGTTTGCTAAGGCTGTTGGTTGAAATTCTGCATGAAGGTTTCTCGTCCGGGCCTACTGGCTATAGAGTTCCGTCCTTGCGAGAAATGAATCGCTGCCTTCCAACCCTTCTTTACATCGCGGATTCCTGAGGGTGTAGCTATCTTGATCAAAATCTTCAAGCTAATACCCAATTCCTATACCCAAGCTCCTAAACCGGAAGCCCTAAACTCCCAAACCTCTAAACCCTGGACCTTTGATCCCTTCTCTCCTGGCAGGGCAAGAAGAGAAGTGGCCGTGGGAAAGGCAAGAAGGATACAGCCTGCAATAGCTGGGGATTCAAGGTCAAGGAGTCGCAAGTACGGGCACGGGTCATCTTGTGTTTGGCATCTAGACCTTCTAAACTTTACGTTTCAAACTTCAAGCCCGAAGCCCCGCTGAGCCTAAGACTCCACCAAACCTGAAGTCATCTGAAGCCGACGGTCATGATGTCAAAGGCACTTGCGCAATACATGTGTATCTCTAGATATGTACACATATTCATATTGACATATGCTTATGTTCTAGTGTAAGCGAGTATGTGTGCCTGCGTGTACGTGTATGTAGTTAAATGCACATGAGAACGCATGGGTGGATGGATAGATAGCTAGATATACATACATATATATATATATATCCCTCTACGGATGTCTACACGTTCCTCTTGTCGTACATATGCACACCTATACACAGGAGGTGTTCCTGAGGCAGTGAGAGAGTTCTCAGGAAGTTCTTGATCTTTGCAGGACCATTTCGAGGGCCTCGGCGCCACTCCGGTGGCTGTAGGCATGTGGGGGTGGGTAGGGGAAGGGAATGGGGGATAAGGGAGGTTTAGGGTTTAGTGTTAAGTGATTTAGGGCTTAGGAAGGTAAGGGCGAGCAGATTTTTTCAGCAATTTAGGATTTTGGATATCAGGGTCAGACATTTTATAATCATCTTACACACACAGACACTCACCATCAACGACTCTGAACAGTTACGATACAGATCATGTTGTTTTCTGTGTGTGTCGCTTGGATGTATACATCTATTTTTCCTAACATCTATATTTGTTACGGGTCTCAAAGTGCAGATACGTGGTGCAGCAAACGCTGTAACACTGCAGGAAGTCCAGGGGGTTTATTGAAATCAGAGTAAAATGTGTAGCTGGTATATGAACGGAAGCTGGCATGATGACATGACCTATGTGCTCCGAGCGGCGGATCCTACCCTAAACCCTGAATCCTGAGAATCTCTAAAACCCTGAAGACCTTAAATGCTACAGCCCTATCTTCACAAGCCCCATAAGCCTTCCATGCCTACAAGCGTTAATTAACCCTCGAAGGCGCCTGAAGGGAATCCATCTTATTAGTGCTACTCCTACTATTACATATTTTTACTATTACTTTTTTTTTCTAATAGTATTATTACAAATATTCTCATTTTTACTTCTATTTTTTGTTCTTAATATTAGTATCATTATGATGCGTTTTGGGAGGGGAGCTCCTGGGAAATGCGGCCGTATTGGATGCGCTGGCGGAGGCACAGCTCTGTTCTTTGGAAAATATACTGTGGCCTACGTAATAATATACGATGATATACAACAATGTATGAGAATCTACTATACTAACGTAGTACAGTATATTACAATATACCATCGCTGGCTTGTTTTTATGGGGGGAGGGTTAGGGTTTGGCATTATGGCCAGGGTGTTGGTTCCGGGTTTAGGTGTTGGGTTTTCAGCCTCGAGGTCTATGTCACCAAACCCTTGGAATTACAATCAGGTCATCGAACACGAGTATCATAGTTGTTCCACACCTGCACTGCAGGAATGAAAGAGCTTTGCCAGATCGCCCATCCATTCCTGAGTGCTCAACTGCATGTCTTCTGCCAAATCTAGAAGATCTCTCCAGTGCTCAACTACAGAGCGCCCCTTACAGTGCCTGACGGGCTGGAGTGCCCCTCAAGCACGCGTGCATTTCCCCAGGCTTGTCCCAAAGCTAAAGTGGGATAAGCATCCTGGAGCAGATGTCAGGGTGTGGAAGCTCAAAGTACGCGATCCTGTTCAATCACTCTTGTGTGGTCTGCATCCTCAAAATCATATTTGATAGCAGAGATTGGACCCCTAGACACTCAATCATAATCACTACAAATCCACCCCAAAACCCTAAGCACCCCGTCAACCAAAATCAATGTAATCACAGGAAAGCCCTTAACAGCCTTGAGCCCCAAAATGGACAAATATTTTTAGTATTTAGACACCCGCTTAGGCCCGTGCCTGTCAAAACCCTTATCCCGAAAATGGGCCGTTCAGCTTGATTTCCCCAGCTGCAGGTTCGACGAGACGGAGCGAAGAGTCAAGTTCTGCTGCGAGACGTCCTATCTCATGCCAGCATCTCAGGGTTAAGGGGATCTGAGTTGACTGCCGGGATCAGGAGCTTTAGCATGTTTAGCGCTGAGGGTTACGTAGTTAGGGTTTGAGGCTTACTAAGGCTCGGTGTTTAGGTTAGAGTGTTTGTCCTTTAGGGTCTAGCATTTTAATTAGGGTCTAAACGTAAGCCATGGGGCTCGGGGCAGAGCAAGTCATGGTGGTGTAGTGTCGGGATCATGAAGCAGAGATCTGTAGGGCTGAACAGCGTTTTTTCATCCGCCCAAGTGCCCCTGTTTCGGAACCTCCCTTCTGCAAAGTGCTTAACATAGATACGCCAGGAGCACGAAGGGCGAAGAGGGGGTTGAATATGCATGAAGGTTTGCAGGATGAAGGAGGTACGGAATATTCGAAGGTTCATAGGGCCAAGACAACAAAACACAAAGCGTTGATGGGCTTAGCTTGAGACATGTGCATGGATCAATTACGTTGCATGGAGTGCCAAGTGTAGGCAACGCGCGATTCAACTGCCAAGCGGCTTAAACCCTAACCATTGGAGCCTAAAGCCAAATCCAAGACTCTTAGACTCTAAGCCCTTACAGAAGAGCACTGTCCCCACCTTGACGCCCCAACCCCAATCCTAAGTCTAAAGCCACAAGCCCTAAGACTCTGTTGACCAAAGCCCTTATAGTAGTTTCCATTTTCTTTTCCATTATCCCTATATATCCCCTATAGAACCCTTATATACCCCCTATAGAACCCTTATATAACCCCTATAGAACCCCCCCCCCAAACTGGGTCCTCTGAAGATAATGGTTTTGAAGGTGGCGGAGCTGGCGCAAGACTCGGAAGGGAGCCGCTTTCTGCAGGACCTGCCATTGTCCCATACGGGGGTCTCCCAAAATTAGGGGTACCTTTTTTGGGGGTCCCCATAATGAGGACTAGTATTTGGGGGTCTATATTGGGGTCCCCCTGTTTAGGAAAACTACCATACATACACAAGAATGTATCTACATATCCAAATTCACACAGTTTAGTGTTTAGGGCTTATTATACCGCCTGTGGACTTTGAGTTTGGGGTTTAGTAGTTCGGGATTTAAGGTTTGGCGTCGAGGGAGTTTCTAAACATGTGTAGTCCGCAAGGACAAGCCCCACATGATGAGAAAGGGCTTCAGTCCCTATCCCCAAGATTGAGCAACACCATTTCAGATACTATTGAAAAGAGGCTGTACATGGGGTGAAAGATTTACAGAGTGCTAAGGCCTGCTAGGGGGGTTGCTGGTCTTGGATATGAGCCGCGGAGGGGTGACGCTGGGTTGGGCAAGTGTATTTAGGGTTCCTTTGGAATAATCGTGGCATCTGCATGGGGAGTCGATTTGGGGCAGCCGCAATTAGCAACACTACCTTTCAGGCATGCAAACACACATTCATACACGCATCATGTAGGATTCTGACCCAACCTCTCGACCACCAAATCCTCAATCCTAAGCCCCCAGTCCTCAAGTCTTTCGCGCTTAGGGATCCAGCGCGTGCATCTAGTAACATCCTAACTCCGAAGCCCAAAATCCTACACGAAGCCTCCCACCGCTTTGCAGGCCAAACTGGAGATGGCAAACACTGCCGAGCGCAGGGAGGTCTTCGATGCCTTGCTTCCGAAGGCCGCCAGGGTTGAGCTTGTTGGGGACGTACAGGCGGGATTTGTGGGGTTTTTTGGGGGGAAAGGGAGGAGGAGGAAGAAGGAGCTGCGCATAGATAGATTCGGGTGTATGCATTTTTGAGGGGTCC